CATATGAATTCCTGTATTGTTTTTTCTAGATCTGAGAAGAATGTTGCTGGTAATTTGATGCATATTGCATTAAATCTGTAGATTGCCTTAGGTAAGATCCATTAGTCTTTATAAGAGGAGAAAAAAACTGTTAACTAATTTTTGGTTTCTTGGGTAGAACAAATCAAAATAGAAGGCTGTAGTAATCTATGGAGCAGTTTGAAAAGTAGGATTAGCTACCTGATGGCATATAGGAAAATGACCTTCTCAGCAACTTCCAAGGCATTTTATTAATGACAATAGTAGACATAATAATGATATTATTAAGAACAGCAACTATCATTTATTGAATGTTAGGCATCATGTCAGGCATCTGTGTGTAGTAGTTTATTTATTTCAACTCTATAGCCTAAGTATTGTCTTGCCATTTTGTAGGTGAAGAAACTAAAATTCTGATGGGTTAAATCATTATCTAGTCACACAGTTAGTCAGCTATAGAATCAAAATTTGAATCCTGATCTGTTTGGATTCTTAAGCTAATATCTCAAACTTGAGTAATGAATAGTCTTCTTTTAAAGATAGTCTCTTTCCTCCATGCTTCATTTGTTGATTCATTTTAAGGTTACTTAGCTAGGTATAAATTCAGATTCCTTCAGCTTATAGCTCACGTTATATAATTAAAAGCTAAAATATATTAAATATAAGCAAAACTTACAAAATCAATAAAAGTCAAATTAATGGCATTAATTTAATGTGAAACTTTTTTGCTGAAATGAAAATGCTAACTGCAAGATGAATTTATAGCTAACTATTATACAGGTTCTTTTGAGTTTGATCTACCTACTGTTTTATGTGCTTTATGAAAACTTGGTTCTTCCACCACTTTTCTGTATTCTGACTTCTTTAGAATATCCTTTCAGACAATAATCTTTGATATCATTTGACCTTCACTTGGCGTAATCAGTTATTTACTATTACTCCTTCCTGTGTTTTCATTAGCTGTGACAGAGAAGACTGCCACTGATACTGGTTTAATGGTTTGGGGCGCTGATATGTTATAGCATTATGCATTTAGTTATAAGGTGATGAGCAGCCATGTGATCCATAATATATTTTTGTTAACTATTTTTTAGATTTTGAGGTTCTAGAGGAACCCACAAAATTTAAAAAATTCACTGACTCTGCCAATCTTAACAGGCCTTTGTTGTTTCTGCTTAAAAAAAAGTTTATTGAACTTTCTCTCAAAACACTGTACCCAGTGCTATCTGGTTTCTGAAGGGTAATAGTGGAGATCCAGAAAGATCTCCATCTCCATCTACGTCAGTCCTGCTCTAGTTCAGGCTCCCACCATCTTGCATCTGAATTTCTGCTACAGCCTTCAGTTTCACTCCCACAAATTTGTTTTTCACAGTGTGAGTTTTTTAGAATGTAAACTTTTAGGACACGACTTCGGGAATCACCTCTTTCTGGTAACTTTCCTCTATTGCTTCCCCTTATCTCTTTCTTCCCCACCCTATCCATCATACTTCACCATCATCCTCTCTCTCAGGTTGAATTAGGTAGCTTTCCTTCCTGATTCTCCTTCATAACTCCTTTATAATACCCTCTGCACACCTCTACTATAATGCTTAGCACATTGTGTTGTAAACCTTGAATTTTCAGTCTCCCTAGTACACTTCTTAAAAGGAAGGCCTACCTTGTGCAGCTGTCTAACTAACACATTGTTTGAATGGGCAGAAGGTTCCAGTGATATAGTTATGATGCTGAATCACTGACCAATCAATTTTAGAAGTGAGGAGTCAGAGATAGACAAGAACAAAGTAGACATTTCCTTATCTTTTTCATTCATTTATGTGAAATTTATTTGAATTACCTAAATTGTTACTATAGTAGGCTATTTGAGTATGTAAACCACATAATATTGTAAGTAATCTCTCCATAAAGAATTAAAAGGTAGTATCATTTTGTTTATCTTTTGATTAGGTGCTGTGATTGTCTCCACACCCCAGGACATTGCACTGATGGATGCACGCAAGGGTGCTGAGATGTTTCGAAAAGTCCACGTGCCCGTAAGCATTTATAGCTTCACTGAAAAATATGAAACTCTTCTAACGGAAGAAACAAGTAATTGAAAAATAAAATTTAAGTTTTAACTTAGTCCCGTACAAAATCTTTATGAAAATCCTACTGCATGTTTATGGTTACTTTAAAAGCACACTTACAAGTGCAAATCTGTCTACACATATTAATCAAGAAGAATTCGAAAACATCCTTCAGGTATGAGTTTTCTGAAGAAGTACTACTTCTTTAATACTTGCAGCTGTCACAGACAAAAAAATATTGCAGGAGTGTTTTAGGAAATTATTTAGAGAGACTTGAATAGATCACCTGTGGGGAAACAGATGAAAAAAGTTTACTTTTTTCCTTCTGCCTTCTACAATTCAACTCATTTATAGCCCACGTTCTTCTAGAGGGTATCTCAGGATTTTCTGTACAATATGGTGAAATAAAACAAGTTAAAGTATAATTAAAAAGACAAAGAATAATTAAAATCAGATGGAGTCAGAAGTGAAATCAGTAAACAAATTGCATGCTATTAAGGAACTTAAATACATGCTAGAGGTATACTATGAATTTTCTAGCAGCCAAGGGAAAAGAAACATAGTAGCATTATAAAAATGCTCATTTCTACAAAGTTAATAAAGCAAAAGTGATGAATGTTCAAGGAAAATGGATCTGAGATCAGAGAGGAACATCTCTGAGTTCTTGGAAAGAAGAAACTTGTGTGTATAGTGAATACACTCTCATCACCTTCTTTACATTAAATAGAGGGTTATTTCTTCTAGTGCACCTTAACAGAAACAAGTTGAATTGTGCTAGAGTACAATTTAGTACAAACCTTTCTGTACAAGGACAATGTGATGCTTTCATTTATGTGGCTATCTAGTGACTTTGCTTAATTCAAGGATAGATTTTAGAGCTTATGCAGCAGAGCTTTTAAATTTCATCCCATGCATTAGTTTCAGGGGTCTCATGATTTTCTCTCCCTCATCCCCAGACTCCAAATCTTATGTGCAAGTGTATTTGTTTTGGTATGGAAAGAGCTTATAACATTTATTCGATTCTTCAGTGAGACCATGACAAAAGATGATCCAACAATGTATTAGAACGAATGGATTTGCAGGAAAACTCTCATAGATGTTTCTCTCTCAGGAGAGCTTCTAAAAAGTATAAAATAGTATAAAATAGTGTGGTTGAGGTGATTCTCCTCAACCAGTACCTCTTCCTCCTTACCAGTTATTGCAGAGCTGTGTGCATTGATGAGCTCTGGAGCCCTGGATTGGATTGACATGCTCTTGTGAAAACTGAGGAGCCTGATAAGGAAAGTGGCTGTTTGCTTACCTTCCAGTGATCTGAGGGTATTTTGCACTAGCAGGAGTAAAATTGTGATCAGCAAGTAGTTTAGGGGCTATCTTGTGAATTTTAGCTTGGAAAAATCGCTAAAGTAATTATAATCAAATGTCTGCCTCAGATAGAAAACTGTCTCTCTAAAGCACCTAATTTGAGCAATATGACTTCCTATTATGTATGCTCTGCAAGATAAACTGCATACAAGTAATACCTACTTAGATAACTAAGTAAGGTTACTTATTTTATGGGATTTTAAAATACAAATCAGCAAAAAGTTAGAGAGAGGATTATCTACCAAAATTATGACACTGAATTAAACAAGTAGTCTATAATCCTTTCTGGCAGAAAGTAGATAACAGGGCCAATGGTCTAATAAAACCACTTCAAGGTCAGGATAATAGCCATTCTTTCTTCATGTAAGTGAATGCTTAAATTCCCATTCTGTAAGGTGAGAGTGGAGGCATATGTCTAGCTCAATCAAAAATATCATGAAGCCGGGCTCGGTGGCTCAGCCTGTAATCCCACGCTTTGGGAGGCTGAGGTGAGTGGATTGCCTGAACCTGCAGGTTCGTGACCCGCCTGGGCAACTTGGCGAGACCTCATCTCTATGATAAAAAAAAAATTAGCCGGGCGTGGTAGCGCGTGCCTGTAGTTCCAGCTACTCGGAAGGCTGAGGCGGAAGGATTGCCGGAGCCCAGCAGGTCGAGGCTGCAATGGCCGGGAGCAGCCACTGCACTCCAGTCTGGGCAACGGAGAGACTCCAACTCAAAAAAAAATATCATGAATTCCTTGAGGGAAAAGTTTTACAAAGAGCAGGAGCCAGACCTTTTAAAGAATTGTAACCTCTAGGGAGGGAGGGGCATACCTCATCAACAAGGGTACCTGCATAATCAACATATGTATACCTAACCCTGAATTGTACCCCACATCTTTATAATAAAAAAATAAATAAAAAAGAATTGTAGCCTCTTAAATTATCATTTTGTATACCAATAGACCATTTCAACTGAAACTGTCTGTTGAGGTTACTTTGGCTATGGGGCAGGTCCTACACAGACTTTGCTAGTTTGGAGTCTAATGACCACAGTTGCCAAATTCAGCACATAGACCTTTCAGTCCTTAGTTATTTTCACTTACCTATAGCCCTGGATGTGTAATGCCCTCTGGTGAAGAGACAAAAATCTCATACTGTTCTGACAGATTTTTCTCCAGGCTCTAAGATGGTTGGACAGATAAATTTTTTAACTTTTAATTTTTTTATTTTAAAGATGTGGGGTACAATTCAGGGTTAGGTATACAAATGTTCATTATGCAGGTACCCTTGTGGATGAGGTGTGCCCCCACTTCCCCAGGCAGATTTTCCCACTGCTGCCAATCCCGCTTCCCCACCCACTCTCAGCAGTTTCACGCTGCTGCCAATTCTTTTCTTATATTATTATGATAATTGTTCAAGTTCTGCTTATGAGTGAGAACATGTGATACTCAGTTCTTTGTTTCTGTGAAAGATCATTCAGTATTATAGACTCTAGGTTCATCCAGGTTGCTGTGAAGTTCATGGTTTTGTCTTCTTTATGGCTGCATAACATTCCATTGTGTATATGTACTACATTTTTTTTAACCAGTCATCTTTTGGTGGGCAGCATGGTTGGTTCCATGTTCTTGCTACTGTGAGCAATACTACAATAAATATACATGTGCAGATATCTTTTTTATAGAGTGATTTGAATTCTTCAGGGTATATTCCCTGTAGGTGGCTAGCAGGGTCATATGGAAGGTCGATATTTAGATCTTTTAGGAATTGCCACACTGTTTTCCACAGAGACAGAACTAGTTTACACTCCCACCAACAGTGTAGAAGTGTTCCCTTTTCACCACATCCTCTTCAGCACCTGTCGTTTTTTGAGTTATTGATGATAGCCATCCTGACTGGAGTTAGGTGTTATCTCAGTGTGGTTTTAATTTGTATTTCTTTGATAACTAGTGAGGCTGAGCATTTTTTCATGTATCTGCTGGCTGCTCGTATGTCTTCTTTTGAGAACTGTATATTATCTTTTGCCCACTTTTTGGCACATTTGAGTTCCTTGTAGATCCTAGATGTTAGGCCTTTGTCAGACATACAGTTGGCAAATATTTTTTCCCAGTCTGTGGGCTGTCTCCCTGCTCTCTTGATGATTTCTTTGGCTTTGGAGAAGCTTGTCAGTTTGATGAGGTCCCACTTGTCTATCTTATCTTGTATGGCATGGGTGCTTAGGGTTTGATCAGGAATTGGGTGCCAGTTCCAGTTTTCATAAGGGTGTCTCCTGCATTTTCTAAGGTTCTTATAGTTTTGGGTTTTACATTTAGGTCTTTGATCCATTTAGAGTTGACTTTTGTGTATGGTAATGGGTAGGGGTCTTGTTTTTTATCTTCTGTATGTGGTCAGCCAGTTTTCCCAGCACCGTTTACTGAATAAGTTGGACAGATAATTTTTAGGGAACATTACAGAGGGGAAGAGGGATGGTCCCTAAGTCTAGCTATTGCTAGTTGGGTACCACTGAAGGATAAAAATTTAAGGAATCAGCAAGAAAATGTCATGAGGAAGTATTCCAAATGAAGGATGGTAGACTGCATAAGTCTCATAGGACTACTTCAGGGTTTGGTTAGGGAGTGGAAGAACTGTTTGGGATCAGAAAGGTTAATGTTAGAGTTTAAGTATGCAGAACTGGAGCAGTTCTAGGTCATGACAAGGGCTACGATGTGGTCATAGGTTTGTGGTACATAGAAAGAGTGGAAGTGAAAGTCATTGGAACTGTGTAATCCCTCCAAGTTGGAATTAATACTTCCATCCTTTTGGGCTTTTAGACATCTTCCTGTGTCTTTATTATAGTCCTCTTTTTTTCACCTTTATATTTTAATTATTTGTCCTTTAAACTACAAAGTTTTAAAAAGAGGTAGAATGTCTTAATTATCCTTTAAACCTGAAGACAAGATTGGTGTTCAGTGGATGAGCAATGAGCTCTGTAAGCATTTGGACAACCATGTTGCAGCTGTGTTGTAAAGAAGTTCTTGGTCATGTGTGGGAGGTGATTTGATGACCTCTGAGACCCATCTAGCCCTTAAGAGCCTAAGTAATGATAGTTTGAAATTAGAAACTGTTCCATAAATACAAAAGAGATGCTATGCCTTGTTTATACCACTTTATTCCGTTCTCCCCCCACCCCCCACCCCCAGTTTTTAGTCTTGCTGTCTGTTTTTCTCCATTTGAAGTACATTAGTTGCTATGGAAACAATGATGTCATTGGATTTCATTGGTATGGGCAGAGCTTAGTAATGTCTGCAAGAACATTTTGAAGTTAATTTAGATGGTTTCTTAAAACTCAGGGCTTAGATAGGGGAAAGAGAAGAAGAGATGAGCTATTATATTATCTACCTGAAATGATACCTCCTATGCCAAATCCTTAGTTATCTCAGTATCTGTAGGTAGATTATTTTTTAAATAATAAAAATTTAAGTCTTTTACATTTTTAATAATTAGAATTTAAATGTTATGCCATTCTCACCCACTTTTGTTGCCTTCTGATACAAAGGAGTCCCAGGTGCCTTGATTTGGAGCTGTTCCCCTATCATTTAAACTTTCAGAGTCACAGATATTTTATTATGTAGCCCTTCTTTCTTTGGT